GGGCACATGCTTAGCATTCCACACTCCTCCTCCAACAAAAACTCTGCTTCCTGCTCATGCAGTGCACAAATCTGTTGCTAGGTTACCTGTAAATAAACTCTTTGGGAGACATAAGAACATGTTGTTTATTAGAATGTGTTGTATAACTTGTACAGATACTGTTTTCCTGGTAATGCTAAGGAACAAGAAATGTTTCAACTCATGAAGTTATGTCATTGTTGAATTTGAATTTTATTGAAATCATACAGATATGGGCAAATTTGCCAAACATGGGTCTTCACACCAGTTTTAGTAGATTTTAGTGTTCTGTTGACAACCAGTAATATATTTAGCTGACTATACTTAAGGTTCTGAAGATATTCTGTACAGCAGATGACTAGGACTGCACAGTATATACTGGTATACCACAATGCGCTTTTCAGACAATACATATTTTTATTTTTATTTTCTGAGAACCAGTATATTGGGTAAAGAAGTTTTTTGTGATTACCTTTATGGTTTAGATTAAAATCTACACAGATTTTCATTCACAACAGATATTTTCCTTCGTTATTCAATGGCAAAACAGCATACTGTAATACTATAAATTGTATAATTTAAAGAAAGAAACTAGAATCCCTGACCATGCAACTTAATTGCTGTTATCAGAACCATAACATATATTTTTAGGGACATATATTGTAGAAAATCGGATCAGCATGTACAGTTAGTGTCACTTACTGTCAAACACTTAAGTTATCATTATATCGCGATACATATCGCAAAATGGCTACCTAAATCGCAATATATTGCAATACAATTTATTTGCCAATACACAGCCCTAGTTATGACTATTATCATGATTACTACAGCAGACAAAACAATTCAGCTGTCGTTTTCTGCTACAGGTAGTGTCCAGACAGCTCCAAACACAAAGCATACCATGCAAAACTTATGTTTTTTGCATTATTTGCAGCAGATGTTTGTGTTTTTGTGTGGACTGTTGACATGTACAATATCAGGACAGACTGTATGATTGATGGGTGTGGGCAAACTGATTATTCCAAGGATCTTCCCATGAGCAGAGCATATGATCATCTTGTATGTCTGCACATAATATAATACAGTGTCATAGTAACATTCAGTCATTTTTCTCTCTCTCTCTCTCTCACTCTCACTCTCACTCTCACTCTCTCACTCTCCATAATAAGTGAAGCCCATTTCGGTTATCCCCCGCTGTAATATTGCTGGATTATTGCTAAAAACATCGTAAAACCCCACTCACTCACTCACATTTACACCCTGGAAAGGATGGGAAAATAATGGATTTACAGAACATCTCCTGTCTTCACACCATCCAACCAACTTTGTTTTGTTGGGAGATTTCAAGTTGTTTGTCAGTACTGTGTTGATGGTTTTCAATTCACAAGTTGTCGTGTTGGAGTATTGTACAGGGAGTGAAACTGTCTTAAATGTGTGTGAGACTGACAGGAAGGAAATACTCAAGGCTTGCGCCAGAGTTCAGTGCAATGTAAAAGCTTCCTGGTTCAGGACACAACAAAATAAAAGTAGTAAAATTGAGTTCTAACATTAAATCTGGGTAGTCTCATTCCAGGTTAACACTTTACAACTGTTGACCATGTCCAAGACTTGCTTATAAACATAAATAAAATGTGGAAACTGGTATATTATATATGTTTATGCCTCCCTAAACCCAAACAAATATTGAAGTCAGTTCTCATCACTGCTCAATAGGGATGTCACGATACATAAGTTTCATGAATCGATGAATATCACGATACCCATGTCACGATTCGATACGTATCACGATACCGTTTTTTGCAGCATTATTGCGTAAATTTAGTTACATTTTGAACATTAATATTACATATTTTATAATTGTCCAAATATGAACATTTTTGATTCTCAGAGATTTAAAAATTCTAATTTCCAATCTTGGTGCATGAAAAATAATCATTTATAACTCTCATAACATCAAAAAACATGATACATTTGTAAAATGTAGTAAACGATACATAAACATATTTAAACCGATACTTTTAAAACTAGATATTGATACAGTTTTTGAATGTATCGATAATTGTATCATCTTAGAAAAAGTATTGATATATCGTGGCATCCCTACTACTCACTGTCTACTGTTCATACTCCTTGTGGGGCGGTGGGGTAGCCTAATGGTTAAAGCGTTGGCTCTTCACGCCGAAGGCCCGGGTTCGAATCCCCACATGGGTACAATGTGTGAAGCCCGTTTCTGGTGTCCCCCGCCGTGATATGGCTGGAATATTGCTAAAAGCGACGTAAAACCAAACTCAGTCAGTCAGTCATACTCCTTGCCATGCTTACTTTGCCATGATGCTGTAAATGCACTGCTTCAGTCTTTGTACTTGATAATGAGGTACGGGTACTCTCAATAAAATCATGACATTTTAATTGCTGGGTTTCAACATTTACAAAAACATTATGGTGCATTAAATTCATAATTTGCAGTTTCTCTCCCTCCCCCTTCCCTCCCTACCAAAACACATGTTTTTGTACATTGATGGTCTACATCTGCTTCAATATTTAACTGTATGTTCTGTCAGAAATCTCAAGTTTCATAACTGTGGATCAGTTTACTCTTTGTCCATCAATTATTCACTTCAGCAAATCACTTGCCTTTCATGGGATGTTTAAGTCAGCTGAAAACAGCAGACCTGGATGCAGACTGGTTATGTTGTGGGACAACTGGGTCAATTTGTTTGAAGTTTGGATATGATATACATGCTGTAGCTGAATGTGTCTGCGAATAACTTGTGAACAGTGAAATTCTGATGGTGCTGGGTACTATGCGCCAGAAATCAAATTGATAATTTGTGAAAATTGAAAATACTATACTGACTGTGAGGATAATTATTCATCAGGTCTTGAACACAAGTACTGCAGGGGGGGGACGGGGGGGAGTTTACATCTGACCCTCCTTTTTACCATTAGGATCAGTATGAGGACCAGTGCGGTTTGTTTTTTATCTGACTCAGCTTCTATCAGGGGCATCACACCAGGCGTGCTGAGGCTAGAGTTCAACTGAAGTCAGATAGCCAATATTGTCGGGCTCGCTGACTTGGTTGATGGTTAGCTTCATCTCTCTGTAGCTAAGAGCGATGCTCATGATGTCGATCACTGTATTGTCTGGTCCAAGCTTGATTATTTACAAACTGCTGTCAAACAGCTGAAATATTGCTTACATCAACAGTTAACAATAGGTTTGTGCTATAAACCTATCACAGGTCACACAGTAACAATATTATGTAATTTCACACAAGTTTTTATATTTGTGATGTAAATCAGTTTTTGACATTTTGACAATAAATACAAAAGCCTTTGTTGAGGAGGAGCATGCGGAACATTATTAAAAAAGGTCCAACAGGTTAAACTTGAGAAACTTATTATCAGCATGTCTGTCACTTTGTCTAATATCATTTGAGGGGCGTAGGGTAGCCTAGTGGTTAACACGTTCGCTCTTCACGTGGAAGACCCATGTTCGATTCCCCCCATGGGTGCAATGTGTGAAGCCCATTTCTGGTGTCCCCTGCTGCCACTCACTACCATTATCATTTAACATGATTAACAAATCAGTAAGTCCAACATACTGCCCAACTTCATACATATTGATAATTTTATTAATATTATGGTTTTGTCACATCTGTTTTTGTACTGTGGCTCAGTATTAAAAATGTTACATACAACATACATATCATATTTTGTGTGACTGTCTAGTGTTGTGAGAACATGATGAAGTACTCTAGTACTTTTTTGTCTTGTCCATTGAAGTTTTTCCTGAGAGTTTGTCCAGCAGGCCACCAGGGTGTTTGTGGAGCTTGTCAGCCAGCTGCTAGTGCTGCAGTCGGCTTCCTTGTTGAGGGGAAAGAATGAATTGATTGTGTATCTTCAATAATCACTTCCAAGGGCCTCCTGGGGCCACATGTCAGGATAACTGGTTTTAATGTAAATATGAAACAATTTTGTTGTTACTTCGTGAAATGTACAACAGTATCTTATGTTACAGTAATGAAAGAATGTAGGCGTTCTTGCACAAAGGAATATTTTCCTAACTGACAAGATGAGACTGTACACGTGGTAAAGCTTGTATTTGTTGACATTGTATCAGTCTGGAGAGCCGCTCCAGGAACAGGCATCTGGAAAGATCAGACATCTGTGGAGCTGAGGTGACGTCTGCTGACCTGGTGTGATGCACTGATGGCAGCTGGCTGATGTTCAGATCTGTGATGGCAGCCACCACACAAAGACAGACAGTGAGATACACTAAGTGACAAATGTTTGTTGTTGTTAAGCAGTTTGCTCACTTCCCGCTTCACTTGGTGTTGACATTTCATAAGAATTTTTAAAAAATCAGAAACTGATTAAGAACTACAGATGAAACAGGAAATTATGACATGTATGAAGCATCTGTCATTTTAATCTGTTCTGCTTCCTGGATGACTTGAGGGAGATTCGGTTTAGCACTTGAACTGATCAGGGGCAGGAAATGCAAACAAAGCATTGTCTACAGCACAACCTCTAGATTACACTGCCCAGGATCAAACAGCGGGGCTCTAGCGATGACATTGTGTAACACTCTGCAGTAGAAGGCTTAATGAAGAGAGACACTCACAAGTCCAATTGTTATTCACTGACCAGGACAAACAGCAGAAGAAAGACTGCAGGAGTTCAGGACCTGCACCATGGCTGTAGTGAAGGTCTCATGTCTGATGGGAGAGGTGTGGCGCCTCATCTGACAGGCTAACAGTGTTGAAGCACTTCTCACCAGTTCACCTGCTGTGATAGTGTATCAACAGTAGAACTGCAACACTGGTGTTGACATTTGTTTGACTGGTCTCAGACCTGCGACCTGTGTGTTGACATTTGTTTGACTAGTTTCAGATGGTGTTGACATTTGTTTGACTAGTCTCAGACTAGTACCTGTGACCAGTGTTGTTGACAACTGTTTGACTAGTCTCAGACTAGTACCTGCGACCTGTGGTGTTGACATTTGTTTGACTAGTCTCAGACTAGTACCTGTGACCAGTGGTGTTGACAACTGTTTGACTAGTCTCAGATTAGTACCTGTGACCAATGCAGTTCAGTGTCGTTGACAACTGTTTGACTAGTCTCAGACTAGTACCTGTGACCAGTGGTGATAACAACTGTTTGACTAGTCTCAGACTAGTACCTGTGACCAATGCAGTTCAGTGTCGTTGACAACTATTTGACTAGTCTCAGACTAGTACCTGTGACCAGTGGTGTTGACAACTGTTTGACTAGTCTCAGACTAGTACCTATGACCAATGCAGTTCAGTAGTGTTCACAACTGTTTGAGTAGTTTCAGACTAGTACCGGTACCTGAATGATATTTAGTGGTGATTACAACTGTTTGACTAGTCTCGGACTAGTACCTGTGACCAGTGGTGTTCAGTCGTGTTGACAACTGTTTGACTAGTCCCAGTTTACTGGCTATATAACCTGCATCTCATTAATGTGTACAACTTGACTAGCCTCAGAGCAGTAGCTGCAGCTGAAACTGACAGCCAACTGGCTTTGTTTCCAACCATGACCAGGAAATAGGAGAGAACTGTTGAGAAGCCATAGTTGGTCGTTTGGAGATACTCTGATTTACTGTTTGTCATCAGCATGGTCAAAAAAGACTTGAAACAAATATTGCATTGGACATGTTGGAAGATAAAACATTCAAGTTTGGAACCTGTCTGGCAGTGATTGGGATCATTGTCAGACTAAGCTACACAGAGAAAAAAGTTTGAGATTTTTCATTTTTCGATGTTCATCATTGCAAGAACTTATCACTGAAGAATTGTTATCAGGCTCCATGCTGTTATGTTTGGCCAAATTCAGGGATTCAGTAGGATTCCCAGTTAAATCCAGTAAGGACTTGTGAACTGCCCCTTTCAACATTCAATAGAGGAAATTCTTTAGTGGAGTGGTGAAATTCTAAGCATGGATTCACGGTGGAAGTAGGCAGTGTTGTCTAATAATACTTGGTATCGATGTGAAATATTCATGTAGAGTTCATGTAGGTAAATGTGAAGGTTTGAGTCAAGGTAATGTGACATTTGCAATTCATGAGCTGCCAGTGAGATGGAAACGTTTTGTGGTCGATTTGGAGATACATGCTTCTGCTACTGCTGAGGGGATGTCAACTAAATTCAGGTAATGAGCCTTTACACAATCAACGCAAATATGTCACTATCAGTAAGCATCTGGTGTCTGGCATTGATCATGTTGAAATAATACACTGTTAAGCTTTATGTTCTTCGGAACATGAGCAAGAACAGCCCTGATTTGAAGTATGAAGTGTTCTTAATTTTCTATACTGCTGCTATAGTCTGTTTGCAGTGAAAACGTACCGATGAATTTCACTTTAAACAAAAAAGTAAATGAAGTTAAGTGAAATTAAGATTGCGAATCCTCATAAATTTACCTTGCCAAATGAACATTTAAATCTCAGAATTATTTTCAACTTAGGATAAAAGTTGTTTAACAAACGATCATAGTTTCAAATCGCTATTATTGGTTTGTATTACAAGGGGGTGAGCGGAGTAGATGGAACAGTGAAACAAAGCACATGCGGTACGTGATGAGCGTTAACTTAAACCAACACTACTTGTTCTCGATGATTCATTTAAAGTGCATACCCCTTGTAATACAAACCAATAATAGCGATTTGAAACTATGATTGTTTGTTAAACAACTTTTATCCTAAGTTGAATTAAATATCTGAGATTTGAATGTTCAATTGGCAAGGTAAAATTATGAGGATTCGCAATCTTGATTTCACTTTATTCGATTTACCTTTTTGTTTAGAGTGAAATTCATCGGTACGTTTTCACTGCAAACAGACTATAATCATGCTTATTGATCCTGTTGTCATGGTTATATTCTGAAATGTAATGACGCAGGGCTAATTTCCCTGTATCTCTCGCGGAATACTGATGCAGTGACACGTAACCCATATTACCTAATTCCTTTGCCAGCATATAGCTGCTTCTTGTACTTAATGAAACCCACTTATCCCTCCTCCCATTCAGCAGTGAGCTGTTCCTCTGTGGCTTGTTAACAGAAGGATCTAGCTAATCTGTCGTCCGTACATTGGGAATCCTCCGAGACCCTATGTATCTGTGCAGGATTAGGGCACAGAGTTAGTGTGTTTGTCCAGCCATGTGAGCATGAAGGGGCCTCATTGTAGAAGTCACTTACAAGTTGGACACACGATAATCTCGGACAAAACAGGCAGCCAGAAATATGTACGACATCTTGTCATGTTTGACTAAACCCAGTATGTTCCATCACATTCTACATTTTCGGAAGCTTTCTCAAGGTGATACTTTCGTTCTGGAAGAATTTAATATTTTCGTCAATCTTGGCTTGTTGTTCAATGGTGACTGTGATGAAGAAGGCATTCAATTACAGAAATTTCGATGGAACTACAGCGATGTGGTGTTTGATAACAGGTGCTTGAAACATGTGTGCATCAAGGAGGGGATTAAACACACCGAGGGGGAGGTTTGAAGTTCTCCCAAGTGTGTTCAACGCAATACCCAGGTGAGGGACAAAGTCAGTGTTAAGGAGAAGGGTTTCATTGAAAGTACCCCATAACCAAGCATTTACATCAGCTGTTGTCAAGAGATATCATTATCAGCTAGTATCTTTGTAGCACAGTTCATATCAGGAATTACAGGAGTTTTCTACAATTATTCTGATAAACAGTATTTTAACAGATGTGTACTTTTAAAAAAACATGCTAACTGTTTTGTACAGTTGACATTGTCTTGTGTTTTATGGCTGCTGAGGTGATGCCATTAGAGTAAGAGGTAGTCTGTCTCACAGTCCCTGAACCACATTATTTTCCCTACTGCCAAGCCCTCTCTGCAGTGCTAAAGCCCTAAATAAAGCAAGTCTAGATTTCCTCAGCTCTGGTCTCCCTGGGGCTCCTTTTCAATTTAAATGGGGTTGTTTGTTACTATCAAAATTATATATATATTCAGAGACTAAGCAGGGCTCGGTTTAAGAGATGTTAACCTACTTGCACCAGGTGCAACCTGAGATAAAAACCTAGTTGCACCAACCAAATTCCAGTTGCACTGCTTTTATGGCAATATGTAATGAATGGAATATGCTATTGAATTATTTAGATGTTTTATTCAGAAGTTTACCCACTCAAAAATTGACCTGCACCTTGTGCAAGTTAGACAAATAACTATGTTGCACTTTGTAATATTGGCTAGCATCAGTGCAAGTAAAAAAGCACTAAATCGAGCCCTGCTAAGCATTAGTCTAAGTAAGAGGTTGAGACAGATAATACACTGGCATTAAAGGTGAGTTACTGTGTGCAGGACAGAAAGTTCTAAATTCAGTCAAGCCCAGCAGTTGTCAAAATTCTCATGGAAATCAGTTGGTCCTTGTACTTACATCAATGTCAGTTGTAAACATTTTGGGCATATTCTGTTTAGCCCAGGAACTTTTGTCTGTCCTCATCTAGTTTTTTGTTTGTGATAAAGGAATGGGGGTGTCGTAGTGGTTCGATCAATCTGGTCCATTTTAAATATTTCAAAGCCTTGCTGATAGACAGCAGGAAAGAGTGCAAGAAAATATAAATAATTCTTTTACTGAAAACAAATTGAGGGCATTTGCACAATGTAATGAATATTTCTTGAACATTTTTAATTACCATTATGAAAAACATAAGTTGAAAATCTTTGAGACCATTTGAAACCTTGTGTTGATCATTCTAGTTCTTGTGGCCAAAACTGACATCTGAAACCCATGGCAGTGTTCTGTGTTCTATAAGAGTGAAGACTGCTGTCTCTCTCTCTCCATCACTCACTCACTCACTCACTCACTCACTCACTCACTCACTCACTCACTCACTCACTCACTCACTCACTCACTCACTCACTCACTCACTCACTCACTCACTCACTCATTTCATTTTCATGAACACTACATGCTCATTCCAAGTCACAATTGAACTTATTTTAAAGACCAACAAGAAATTTATGTTCCTAACATACTAGTCATCCTTTAAAGATGTGCAATTTGCAGAAAACACCCCAAGGAACTGCATGTTTTTTCTTTATTTTTTGTGCATTAACAAAAATAACCAGGAAAATTTCATAAATGATGCTAACCAATTATTTTCGATGATTGATCGGTTGTAATGAACCAATCATCAATTATGAGATTTTAACCAATTCCCAACACTACCACCCACTCACTCACTCACCAACACATACACATACACTACACCCACGCACACTCACCACCACATACTCAGGCAAACTGTGATGATATGAAACAGGATCTATGAGCATGATAAACTGCATGTTTTTACAGCAGTAGAAGATGTCCCGGTTTGTTTTTCATCCTGATCCTCCGCCCGATGTGTATCAGGTTATGAGTTCACTGATACACATCACACAGCCATGTTTTTTTCAAATGAAGCTAGCGGCTTTCATAGACAGGTATGGGGAATCATTGCTCAGAAATGGAAATTCATATCTGATGATTACACAGATGTCAATAAAAACGGATGTTTTTCCCCAGAAGTAAGGCCGCCTGGGAGGTTTATGTGGTTCAATGTGTTGTTTTGTGGTGTCGTGTTACCATGGTAATCGGACATATGTTCTCACAGACAGTTGTGATGAGGATATGTTCTATAAAACATGGCACACTTGTAAGTTGTTTATGTGAGTCACTCGTGCCGATAACTGGATGATGGCACAAAGTGATACCATATATCTATATCATCATTTGAAGGTGGAAAATATACTTTTATGTCAAGAGCAGTTCACTTTGCTGATAGGAGCCCATGTGGAGTTCACCTTTACTACAATGTTTGGTTAGTTTATAAGTAATGGACTGCCTCCGTGGTGTAGTGGTTAGAGCGTCCGCCCGGAGAGCGGAAGGTCGCGGGTTCGATCCCTGACCGCGTCATACCAAAAGACGTTTAAATATGGTACTTGTCGGTCCCTGCCTGGCGCTCGGCATTAATTGGTTCAACAAGGATTGGTCGGCTCGGAGTCAGTATACTGTGTCTGAGTGGGGTATTCATGCTTCACTGCGGCATGGTATCTCAGTGGGCTAGCACTATAAAACCAGCTTCAGTCTGGGCTAGTACAAGCAGCCGCACATACACATACACACGCATGCACATCGTCATATGAGCGAAATATTCTCAAGCACGACGTAAAACCCAATTTAAACTCACCTCACCTATAAGTAATGCCCATCGCTTCTGACCTTGGTAAATATTTCTGCTACCACTCGAGGCTTTCTTCACAGTGTTATCTAGAATCAGGTTCACCTGAACTGTAATTGTAGAAAGTATATGGATAAACACAGAAAACAATTAGTGTTTGTGTCTGGTAATGCTAATAGTTATTTTGGGAGAATTGTGAAGTTTCTCTCTCAACATTAGTTTTATGCTGGCTTCCAGTAGCAGATCAACATTACCAGTGTAACCTGAATCAGCTATGAAAATATTTCTTTATTTCCTCCTGGTCTTCAGCCTTAGATGCACCTATGTCTCATCTGGTTGTGTGGCACCCTTGTCTATAATCTGACCGCAGCATAAAAATAGGTCATCACCGCTTTGCACTAACCTGAAAAAGCCATAGTTCATTACAACTTATTATATTCCTCTCTCATACATGAAGAGTATGTTGTCAGTGTCTGTTGGAATATACACCATGTCCAATCAGATATTTTCTCTGTATGTCCCAGTTTTAGGGAGGTATTCCTCTTACTACCACTAACTTGTTCCCCTCAATGAGCAGAGCGACCCCCCCCCCCCTGTCTCAGCCATGAACTCTTCTGTGGAGAGTTGCATCCCCTTGTTGTTCCAGGAACTAATGGCTTTCACTAATTATCACTTTTGGTTTGTCCTAATACCTTAAAATTAGCATTACCCTATATTGCTAAGATATACAGAGAATTTTGCATAACATGGATCATGTATGCATTATATCTGGACTAGCCCTTGCTCACTGTCTGCAGAGTCCAGTAAGTTTATATCATGATGATAAAGCTGTTGTGATACTTATTGTTCCTTTGCTTATCATGAAACTGTTTTACACAACTGATCTCTGACTCTGACCCAGGAGATATGAGCTTCCAGCCATGTTTGCTTGTTAACACTTTGAGACAACTAT